GTTTTCATTACAGACATGAGCTTTGCATACTATCCATGACATAGCAACTCATGTACTTGATGAGGGGTAGATGTACAGGGATATGATGATTAGGCCTATAAATGGGTCGGGTCTAGACCCGGACCTGACCGGACCCAATTGTTTTTAATGGGTACGGGTCTATATTTCATTCCATTTACCCGGATCCGGATCCGGATCCGTTAGTATTTTAAATAAACGTGTCGGGTATGGTACATATGATTCTGTCCCGTTAAGGACCCGGACCCATTTAAAATTTCTTATTTGTATAAACAGACACTAATACATAAAGTGATTATTAGTTATAACACTTTAAATAAAATAGAAACTAATATACATATATACATAATAATAATACATAAAGTTATTAGTTGTGATTCTTCAATAAAATTATACACATTAATACATAACTAATATATAAGTGATACTGATCGAAATAGTAATATACCCTAAACGCACAATATTTATTACTATTATTATTAATATTATTATATCATTATCATATATATCGTATGATACTACATATGATTTTATACTCTTAGTAGTCTAAGAGACCCTTTTTATGACTTAATTTCTAGTTTATTATATGAGCTTTTTGTGCGAGAGAAAGCAACGCAGAGTGTGGAGTTATATGTTTTTACAAGAACCGATACTTTATTAGATAAAACTACTAATTTTCTATGAGAGACCTTGATTTTTTTGAAAAATGAAGATATATTTTGCTTTTAAATTTGTGTACTTTGTTTTATATTTCACATACATGTCTTGTTATTTTCACAAAGTTTATAATGGTGTGTGTATCATACTTGGCGGGCGGGTCTACCCGACCCGATTCCGAGACCCGTTGGGTCTGGGTCCGAGTCCAAATTTTCAGACTCGTCGGGTAAACGGATCAGGTCCGGATCCATTATTAATTTAGCGGGTCCGGTCTGGAACACTACGTTCCGACCCGGACCCGACCCAATGATAGGCCTAATGATGATGATGATCACGTTGACTTGTGATATTTGTACTTTACATTATTGTGTGAAACATGAACTAGTCATTGAATTATTTTTTGAAACACTGGATTTATTTTCAACTTTATGTGATATTTCTAGTATTGTGACCCAATGTAGTTCCATTGATTTGTTTTGTGTCTTGGATATGTTTTTTAGCAACCTATATTGACTATAAAGAGCAGCTGTTTGATGTTTCTGAGTTGATTGGATTGTAAGGAGCATGTTTTTTGTTCAATAAGTTGGTGTTGTATTTACCGGGCACAAGAGCCACCACTCCAAGTGGCAGCTTTTGTACTGCACAGAAGAGTCGTCACTTCAAGTAACGGCTTTCCTTAACTGCGGTTAACTCAATAGTATTTTGAGAATTATTTATTTAATTAGCATTATTTCGGGAAAAACTCAAAAGCATAAACATAAACATATTAAATAAATAAAATAATGAGAAGATGAAACAAAGAAAAAAATGAAACGTGAGATTGTTTTGAGCAGATTTGTGAAAGGTAAGATTATATATGTGAGATTTCCAAAGAAAAGACTAAACTTGGTATAGTATGTCATCAACCGATCAGTGTTCAATGAGAGAAGATGTGCCACAAAGCTGAGATTATTCTGTAAATACGTAAATGTGAGATTATTATGAGCGAACCAGTTGAAATTATTCAGGGATTACGCAAAGATGAGATTAGGGCCTGTCAAAGGTAAGATTATTGAGTTTTTTTCGAATTAATGCTAATTAATTAATTAATTACGAAAATAATGTTGGGTTAAAAGTATTTACGGATCTACTGCTGGATTTAACCGTGGTCAGGGAAAGTCGCCCAACCGTTGGGCGACTTATAAGTCACCAAACGGTTTGGCGACTTATAAGTCGCCCAACAGTTGGGCGACTTTCCATTAAGTAAAAACAGCGCCCAGCCACAAAACAGAACACTGCGAATGAAACCCAACCCCCAAATCCCTCAAGCAGCAGCTACGAAAGACGAAGGACGAAGGACAACCGAGCCATTTCCATCTCCGGCGAACTTCCATATCCGGCGACCCCACTCCGGCAAACCTCCATCTTCAACACTCTTTCTTCTTTCTTGTAGGTAAATCAAACTCCATTTCATCTCATTTTTAACTTAGGGTTTTGAATGTTAAATTTTTGGAATTTTTAGATTATGAAATGTTCAAATTTGATTTGAAATTGATTTTGACATGTATATATTTTGACATTTGGGCATTTGGGTGGATTTGAATGTAGCTAAATTTGGGTATTGAAATGTAGACTTGAATGTAGATATCAAAATTTGGGTATTTGCATATTGAAATGTGAGTTGTTTGTGAATCTTGACTTTTGGATATATTTGAATTGTTATTAGAATATGGATTTCTCAAGCTTCCCAATTGTGTGTCATTGGGGAGAGAACTAGTATGAGGATGTTGGTCAAATATGCAATGAAGGTGGTACAACCACATTTGTCATGGTTTGCCGTGGTGCTTGCATGCTCGAGATCCTTCAAAAAATACATACAGCCACAATGATTCATCCTAGTCGTTCTTTGCGTTTGAAAATGAAATTTCCCCTGAACGGTAGAAAGTACATGCTTATGCCCCTCACTTATGAGCTAGCTATAACAAATATGTGGGCCATAGTTCAGATGGAGGACATGTCAATGCTTGAGATATACATTGAGGAATCCATATGTGACGCTTATCGTACTCCATCAACATCAAATGCTGTTGTATCTAGGCATTATGTCAATGCAGGTGTGAATGCTGGGAACTCCTCAAATGCTCCTGTAATGGACATGGTTATACAGGAAGATGGTAGGTATTTGCACAACGATGCATCATTTGTGGATGGGCAGGGAAGTGATGATGATGCTGACGACAACATCAATGGTGAAGATATGACAGAATCTGATGAAGATGATGATGAAATTCTGTTTTCGGAATTAGGCACGATCGTGCCTACCCGTCCGAGCACGATCGTGCGTGGCTAGCAGTAGCTGTTGTCTGCGTTTATATGGAAGGAGAAAGTCGCCCAACGGTTGGGCGACTTATAAGTCGCCAAACCGTTTGGCGACTTATAAGTCGCCCAACAGTTGGACGACTTTCCCTAACCATGGTTAAACCCAGCAGTAGATCGGTAAATATATTTTTACCAACATTATTTTCGTAATTAATTAATTAATTAACATTAATTCGAAAAAAAACTCAAAATTATTGTTGTGAGTTTTTACTTTTACAAATATGCATTAATTAATACATATATTTGTTGTCGTGTCAGAATGTTAAAGAGGGTCAGCAGTGGTCGCCCCCCATTACTCCTCAAGAGTCGTGCATGCGCACTCTTCCTACGCATCCTCTGCCCCAGTCTCCACCTTCCCCTTTCCCCTCTCCTTTTCACGTATCTTCATACATCCTAAAGTAGAAATTCTTATTCTTATACTTCGTATATAGTTTTAAGGGAAAAGGGACAAAAACACCCTTAGAGTTGTCACCAAAGGACATCTACACTCTTAAACTTTTCTTTTGTGTAAAAATCTTTAAAAATCATGAAAGGAGGGCAAGCACCCCCTTTTTTTGCACCCCCTTTATTTAACGGTGAACTCATTCAAAAGATTTGCAACCGTTAATGTTTCCCTTTGAATGGTCAATTGTGTATTTTTAATTTTATTTATTAAACTAATTTTGTAAATTAGTTAAAATATATAAAATATAGATAAAAAAATTAAAAATAAAAGTAAATCATAAAAAGATACTAAGTAATGAAATAACGATTATACAAAAAAGTACTCTCTCTGCCCGGCTAACGTTATCTCATTTTTCCTTTTCGGTCCGCCCTATTAAGATTGTCTCATACCAAATTTTGTACAGTTTTGTGTAGTTCTAAATGATTCTTGTTTTGCTTTATTCTTACTTTATCAAACTATTTTTTCTTATATTTTGATACATCGGAAAGGCGCGGATGTAGTAATATAAAGAAAAAGTTAGATGAAAAGGCTAAAATAGTTGGCTTTAAAAAAATTGAGTCAATTTTACCAGAAAAGAAACTTCATGCTCACTTATTTTGATTATTATACAATTCAGCTAAAATATACTAAAATAGCTGATTTCAAATAGTTTGACAAAAAAATGACTAATAAGTTGGAACCATATATTACCACACAGGCTTTGTGTGGTAAATAAGATACAAATCATGCAACACAAAATATAGTCTATTCATATTTCTAAGCATTTATATCAAAATATAAGAAAAATTCACATGTACATTACTAAAAGAGTTTTCCGGGATAAGAATATGACTAGTAATGTTTTAGATAAAAATATGACCAGTCACTGTGTACGAGTAACTGAACAATAGTCACTATAGTGTATTTCAGAGTGACAAGTCATGGTAGATGATGAGTCACTATGAACTAGTCACTCAATATGTCACTTTTTTGGAAAATTTACAAAAGTCATATTTTTGTAATTTCAATTTAATTTAGTAATATTCATGGGAAAAGGACAAAAGAGTAATTTTGTAATTTGAATTTAATTTAGTAATATTCATGTAAAATTTTAAATATATTGTAAATATAACATATACATAAATCAACAGAATCAGCCAATACAACCACTTCAGCCAGATCTTCATAAATTTCAGCCAAGTCAACCGATTTCAGTGTTACCAAATGGACTCTAAGTAATAATTTTGTCCACCATATTGTAAAAAGTAATATTAATGGAATTGTTTCATAACTTTTTTGCATAATCATTACCTCGTATTTCATTACATTATCGCTTTTTATTGGGTACTTGTGGAAGTCTCATACCAGAAAATTGTGAAATAATAAAGTGATATATTAAGATCTGAACTACTTCTCCTATTAGATTGATCTTTTATGATAGAACTTTATATCTTAACAGTACCTGTGTATGTAATTTCTTTATTTGTATTGTATATATTTCAGCTGAATTACAAAATTAGTTAATAAATACAATTAAAATGTATTCCGTTTCAAATTCAAAGCAGCCATGTTAAACATTTGCCGACTGTTGAAAACAAGGGGGTGAATGGGTGATTGCCCTCTTTTAATACTCCGTAGATTTTAAAGATTTTAGCACAAAGAGGAGTTTAAGGGCCCTTTGGTGACTACTTCGCGGGTGGTTTTGCCCCTTTTCCCTAGTTTTAAAATAAAGCAGACTTCAAGATCAATTTACTGGTTCATTCAGGTACGCAATTTCATTTCATCGCCATAGAATGTTCTCTGAACTGCTCCTGCCTTCTTCTTCTATTAAGTTTCTTTTCAATGCCCTCTTTAATTCATTATCTGACTACGTTCAGGTGACTGATTCCATTTTCCTACTCCGGATCATCCTTTATTATTGTAGCTTTGATAAAACAAGACAATCTGTTTCTTTGTGCTTTGGATGAAAACTTGTGAGTACTGAGTAGTATTCCCGATAAAAATAATCTGGTGTTCAGTTTCAGAAGATCGGATATTCCTGAATGCTGAAATGTAATTTCATTTTTTAATACAGAATATGAATATGCGGTATCGCGCCCCCTCTTTTTCCCGTTCCGCCTAATTTCTCAGCCTATTCAGTAGGTGCCACCCCGCCCCCTACCTACCCTGCCATTTTTTTCAACACAAGTGCTTTGCATCGTGAAGATATGTTTAATGTCAATTGCTGTGATTTTTTCATTAGTGGTGACTGGTGATATACTGATATGACTTGTCTTTGAATTCATATACGCAGGGTGATTATTTTTTCTTAAAAAAGGAGCTTTATTTTATTTTATTTTATTTTACGGAGTATTTTATTTGTATGAGCTCATATGTTTAATCCTAGCTTCGTCTGAAAAAGAGTCTATGTTTGACATACGCCATACTGTTGTATTCGCTTCTTTAATACTAGTATTGTTTGATAAGGACACTAATCTTACTTTTTATTGGTTTATGGTTCATTTAAGTAAATTTATCATATTTATCTTGTTTAGCCCCTTTTAATAATAACGTAAAAAATCGTTTTTATTAATTTCTTTATTAAAACGTTAAAATTACTCTGTACCATCATTCGTTGAACTTTATTAAGTCGTATTTGGTTCTTTATACTCGTATAAAAATGGTAATGACACGTCTTATGATCCATAAAAATCACTTGTATCACAGTTCATGGATTGTAATGATGTATTTGCGATTCTTATAACTTCCCTTAATTTCCATTTTTGGGTTTTATTAGGAACTTCTGAAATTTGCTTCCATATACCGCATACAGCATATCAATATAGCATTTGATGGCATCAACAGAGCGTGGTATTCATAACAAAAGGATAGAGGGGAGTGATTTAAGAAATACTACACTCTTTCTTGATGATGAGCAACAATCTCCCTCTCCCATGTGTTGGAAGGGTCAAGTTCCAAATCCGCCATTTCATCCTCCTTCTAAAGCTGGTTTAAGAGGCAGAAGTCATAGAGGCATCCTTAATAAAGCAAAAGACACATGGGAGAAACTCTTCAAAGAAGGGTTTGGAGCAGACGTGCGTATCATGACAGAGGACGGATCAATTATTCTAGCACATTATAGTGTTTTGGTCAGTAAATGGATTTGTATATTGCCTTGCTCTATTTACATAGATAATAATTTGTTATATTCATTCTAAATGCCTTAAATGTTTTAATGATATACCCATGTATATCACGTCCTTATATTTTGAAGGTCCTGCTGAACTATAGAAAGGGCCTTAGAACATAAATAACAATTGTTCATAATAATATGTACTCATATTTAATGCAAAATAAACTACTCCGTATAACTTTAATCATATAACTACTGAACCGAAAGTAACATGGAAATAGAATCTTCAAAAGTATCTTCATTTTCGGTTTTGAAACATGGAGCTATCTAACCTCCAAACATGGAGCTATCTAACCTCCGAAAATATCTTCAAGCAACATTAATTTTTTACTGAAACATGGAGCTATCTAACCTCCAAACATTTTTTTGAAATAGAATCTTCAAAAGTATCTTCATTTTCGGTTTTAACTCCAACAGCTAACTCTCAATTGCCATCAAAACTAATCCATTAAGTCTTTCATGTTCATTAAGAACCGTGTAGAACTTCAATTTGGTAAGTTTTGCTTGGGTAATAAAAAATTGGGCCCTGCTCAAAGGTATCCATTTGCACTCCTAAAGGGCAAGCCTATAAATGTGTGTGTGAAAGTTCATTAAGTTGATTTTTTGTTAGAAAAACAGTCGTGACTTATGGGCATTTCTTTTTATTGTTCATCGTTCTCAGTGTGTTGCATCACCTGTGTTGAAGAATATCCTGCAACAATCTAAGGTGAACAATGGCATGAGATGTATGAAGGTCCCAAGCATGCCACATGATGCTGTCCACATCTTCATTAAATTTCTTTATTCTCCCAGGTATGCCAGCACTACCTTAGCCATTTTGTTATAAAGTGCTATGAAAATAATCACATTAATGCCTAAACTATAGCAACATTGAGAAGACTTCTGCTTTATGCATAAGTTCACTTGTTTTAGAATTTTGAATTGGAGGTTAACATTTTAGTTGATTTGCATTCAACTGCAGTTATGATGAAATGGAGATGAAGAAGTTTGCTCTTCATCTGTTAGTTTTATCACATTCCTATTCTGTGCATTCACTTAAGAGTGTGTGCGAACACATTATAGAGAATGGAATGCTTAACTCAGAAAGTGTTATAGACGTGCTTCAGTTAGCAAGGAAGTGTGATGCACCGCGGCTCTCGTTTGTGTGTACCCGGTTAATAGTGAGAGACTTCAAAACCGTATCATCAACTGAGGGGTGGAATATAATGAGCCGTTCAAATCCCGCACTTGAACAAGAGCTTCTAGAATTTGTTGTAGATGCAGATATGGTATGACAGTTCTTCCTTTTGAGGCTTTCCCTATAACATGTTCAACAAGAACAGTTTTTATTTTTTGGTGGGTGTCATCCTACATAAAAAATATAAGAATATATGGAGTATAAATAAGAACATACACTGATTTTGTCCCTCTATACACCATTAATCAACTTGGTTTTCAACTTTCATTAGATTAAATTTGGTCATAGGCTCTGGTATTTGGACCTAATTTAGTAGTACTAGCCTACTAGGGGTGCCCTCCGGAACTGGTCCGTTTTTGCTAGACCGGAACCCGTACCGAGTATATAAGACGGTCAGTTCTGGTTGGAGTTATCTATAAAAATAGGCCAAATAACCAGTGCCAACCAAAGAACAGGAACCAATACAGTTCAACCAAGATATGGTTCCGGTTCTACCATTTACTTTACCCGGAATTGAAACCGGATTGAGTCCACACCTGTTATACTTATAAATATTTGGTTAGAAATAAGAAAAATATTTTTGTCTTTGTACTAAATTCAGACCCAATCAGTCCAGAGCTTACAATAATACTGTTCTCAATTAGAGCGAAATGTGCATGAAGAGCAAATATTCCATAGTTAAACACCAAACTGAGTCCAAAAGTAGTCAAATATCAGTGTAGTAGTATTCTGTAGTCTAGGGACCAATTAGGGTATTAACTCGTAGCTATCATATAAAACTTTTGATTACTCCTCCTATTAGATGATGTCGATTCAACTTGTGCAATCGTATGCTTGTATAAGCCTACAGCAAGGGTCTTTATATTACTATGACTGTGTTTTAGAGGAAGCAAGAGCGGGTGAAGAAAATTGAAGAGAAAAGGGTATATTTGCAACTATACGAGGCCATGGAGGCTCTACTTCATATCTGTAAGGATGGGTGTCGGACGATCGGACCAAGAGACAAGGTGCTTAAAGGAGGCCACGATGCATGTAGTTTTCCAGCATGCAAGGGACTTGAAACTCTGATCCGCCACTTCTCTGGTTGTAGTACCAGAGTTCCCGGCGGATGTGTGCGGTGTAAACGAATGTGGCAACTTCTCAAGCTTCATTCGAGGATGTGCATTCAACCTGACTCTTGTTCTGTTCCTCTTTGCAGGTTAGGATGATCATATTTCACTTTGTTTTTCTTTTTGTTTGGCGGGTTTACAATAATAATCCTATATGAGAAGGATCGTCGCTCCATTGTAGGCATTTTAAGCAGAAAATGGTGCAACATACCAAGAGAGAGGAAGCAAAATGGAAGGTGTTGGTGAGCAAAGTGCAGGCAGCAGAGGTTAGGCTTGGACTATTCTCAACTAAGCGGTCTGCTTTTTGTTATGACCTCTAAAACTGTATACTATGTATATGATGAGTTGGTGCTTCAATAAATAAATGGTCAAATATTTTGTAGACCATATTGTAAGGGTATAGGGTATGTAATATGTCACAGGAAGATAGTGTGAATGGTACTATAATGTTACATAGGTCACATTGTGTCTTGTAAAATTCCCACATACGAGTGAATGTTGAAATCTACTTTTCTGGTCAAACCTTTTGTGGGGGGAAAGGTTTGAAGTCTTTGCTATTATGGTAAGAAAGGCTATCTTGAAATCCACAAATATGGCATGTACGGATCTTGTGGGGGCAGTGTGTTTAATTGACGATTACAACTCACACCAATTTGCAGTATGGGCAATTTATGAAATTGGTAATCATATTTCCACATCTTTCACCAGAGACGATACACCCGTACACCACTAGGTGTCATCATTATGGGTGACCAGGTACTGCACCCGCTAATATTTGGGTTCGAGATCAAACCGTTCAATCTGATTTACTCACCCTTATACTCACTTTATAATCATCATGTTTGTGAAGATTTTTTTTGTTTGTGCAAAATATTGTCTGTGAATTTATGTTCACAGACAAAAAAAGCTTTCACAAACATGGGAGTACAGAAGTGGGTATAAGAGTGAGTACAAACATCATTTTTTATTCTATGTACGGAGTACATAGAAAAAGAGAGATTTTCTGAAATAAGAGTAAATAAAGTTTGGAATTCCAAAATAGGACTACTATGTTTTTATTCCCGAAATATGACTAATATGACAATACTTACTGCCATTTTGTATGTGTGATTGACAAATAGTTGCAGTACAGTGCATTTAACACAACAATATTTATTACTCCTTCCATCCCGCTAAGATTGTCCCATTTTATCTTTCCGGAAATCTCATTAAGATTGTCTCATACCAAATTTAGTAAAGTTTGTGTGGGTTTAAATTATTCTTACTTTATCAATTCAATATCAACCACATAAACCCACTTTTCTTAATAACCGTGTCATATCCTCTTGTCTCAATATTAGTGGGACGAAGGTAGTATAATTAATGGCAGTATTTTTTTATCATGGCAGTATTTTTCATACATTCAGTAACAACTCCTATTTTCATAAAGAAAACATACTCCCTCCGTCCCAAATTGTTTTGCAAGGTCAACATTTTTTGGTCAACCAATAAAAAAAGTCAATGCTCCCAATGGATAATTAATTCCATTTTTAATAATTAAAATTTATATATTCAGAACCTATATTAAAATCTCTTCAAAATTGTAAACTCCAAATTACAATATTATTAAAAATTGACATCCTAATTAAGCAAATAAAATGAAACTGGTTGACCAAGAAAAGTCAAATTTGCAAATCAATTTGAGACGGGGGTAGTAGTAGTTATAGGGATGGACCCAACCGGTTCAGCCTGGCCCGGAACCGGCCCGGCCCGCTACCGTGCGGGCCTGGAACCGGCCCGGCCCGCTACTGTGCGGGCCCGGACCGGCCCGGTTGGTGCTAACCAGGCCCGGGCTTTTACCTGTTTGGGGTAGGTTGGGCGGGCCGGGCTCGGGTCATGTTTTTCTTTAACCGGGCCCGGGCTTTTGTTTTCAATTTTTTTTTGTTTTTCTTGGTTAGGGGTGGGTGTTTTGGGGTGGTGAGGGGGTTAATTAGAAAGCAAAAAAAACATAGAACCGGGCCCGGGCCGGTTCCGGTTCATCCATTCCCAAAAAAAGCCCGCCCGGACCCAGGCCTGGCCCGGGTCCACCCCTAAGTAGTTCTATTTTGGAATTCTAAACCTCATTTACTCCTATTTAGGGCAATTTCCCTTTTAAAAACAGAAATAGAATAAAAAAACAAATTTTTAAAAGTTGATTTCCTCTATGGTATTTGAAATTGATTCTGCTTCTTTTTTTTTTAATAAAAGTAAAATAAACAACAATTTTTTAAAAGTTGATTTCCTGTAGTTTCTAAAAAATTATTTCTATGAGCAATTTGGAGCAACTACAAGTATTTCTTCATTTTCACTCAAATACTCTAATACTCCCTTCGTCCCATTGTATTTTGTCAACTTTCCTTTTTTGTTTGTTCCAAAAAACTTTGTCACTTTCCTATTAAAGCAACTTATTTGTGGTTCTGCACATTTCTCTCTCCTGCATAAATCTTAACCCCACAATTTTTACTACTCTTATTTTTCATCTACTATGATAGTACTCCCTCCGGTTCTGAAAGATCTTTACACTTTCCATTTTAAGCAGTACAACAAAGATCTTTACACTTCCTTATTTGCCTTATTTGGCAAATAAATCTACACAAAATAGTGTCAAACAGTGCCAAACAGTGCCAAACAATGTTTATTTCCTTAAAAACTGTGAAGTCAAAGTGTCAAGATCTTTTGAAACCGGAATGAGTAATTTAAGAAGTAAATTCATAGTCATACATGACACATCCCCTACAATTCCTCAATACCGGACTCGACTGGACTAATAGGTACCCGTACTGCTTTATTTAAATTAATAGAAAAATGGATGGGAGTTGTAACCAGTTGGTATTAGAGGCTCATCCGCTCATAATATCATATAGGGAATAATACTTCTAATACTGTCATTTTTCAAAATAATCTGATTAGAGTGATTATGAAACACTAAAGATTTGTTTACGAACAAAGATATTTTTCATTTTGTTTTTTTCTATTCTCTCATTTTTGTGTTTACATTTTCCAGTTTTCTATCTTCAATTTTCTGTTTTCATTTTTTTGGTTTTCCATTTTCGAATCTGAAAACATGTTCATCACAAAATTGAAGATAGAAAAACTGGAAAATGAAAACAGAAAATTGGAGAACAGAAAAACAAAATGACCGAACCGTCGGATCATTGACCAGCCCGGACAGGGACTGCTTGATTGTTGATTGGATAGAACAGAGATCGTCGGGTCATTGGCCAAACAGGACGATGATCATCAGACCGGACAGGAACTGGCAGTCGTTGATCGGACCGGACGGGGACCGTCAGGCGTTGGCCGGACTGAACGGGGATAGCCGAGTCGTTGATCGGACCAGACGGGGATCGTCGGTCATTGGCCAGACCGAACGAAGATCACTGGACGTTGATCGGACTGGATGGGGACCGTTAAGTCCTTGGCCGAAGCGGATGGGAACTGTCGGTCGTTGATCGGACCAGACGGGGACCGTCAGTCTTTGGCCAGACCGGACGGGGATAGCCGAGTCATTGATCAGACCGGACGGGGATCATCGGTCGTTGGCCGGACCAGACGGGGATCGCCGAGTCGTTGACCGGAGCGGAAGGGGATCGCCGGTCGTTGACCAGACTGAACGAAGATCATCGGGACGTTGATCGGATTGGATGGGGACCGTCAAGTAGTTGACCGAACCGGACGGGGACTGTCGGGTCATTGACTGGACTGAAAGGGAATCACCGGGTCGTTGACCAGATCGGAAGGAAATCATCAGGTCATTGACCGGCTCGAATGGGGATCGTCGGGTCGTTGACCAGACCGGACGAGGACCATCGGATCGTTAACCGAACCAGATGGGGACCGCCTTGTTATTGACCAGGCTGGAAGGGGACCGTCGAGTCACTAACCGGACAGGACGGGGACTGCCATATCGTGGACCAGATCGAAAGGGGACCGCCGGATCGTGGACCGAATCAGACTAGGACCACCAAGTCATTGCCTAGACCGGATCGAATCGGACCGTCAGAGCCGCCGGGTAATTGATCTGACCGGGTAGGGATCATCGAGTTGTTGACCGGACCGAACTTAAACTGACATCAAAGCAGAACCGAATCCACTACATGGCGTAAGTATGCAAATTCATTGAAACGACACTGCAACATCCGCATTGTCCAAATTTGGAAAACTAGTAAAACTCATTTCTCCAATTCATTAAGGAAAATAGAGACATCTCATTTTTTTGGTTTTGAAAAACGATTTGGTAAAAGCATTTATCTGTTTTCCTTTCTCCAGTTTTTTATAGATGCGACTGCAAATCTCACTGATATAAACGAGTAGATCTAACTATAACAATGATGTAATTGATCAGAAAGTTTATTGAACGAGAAGGAACACCATACACACTTGGGACTGTTCGAGAAGCCCACTCTCCAAAGCCAAAGGCCAACTGAATAACAACCCAACTTATTTAGCTACTCCCACATCTATTTATAGTTAATACTCCCGTAAGGATAAACTACTAATACAGCTCATAACCCTTTCCCTGCTATTAATATTTCAGGACCACTTATTATTATCTATGATAATAGGCCCACTTATTATCTATTCCTAACAATACTCCTCTCCTAAACAACCACCTTGTCCTCAAGGTGGGTGATAGGGAATAGCCATGATCTTCAACTTCCACTTCATTCTTGCATCTTTCCCCTCCCAGTACTTGACTGGTTGCTGGATTAAGATCTTCCATACTTGAATCTCCCTACTTACTTCTTCTAGCAAGAACCTCAATAGATCCCCTATCTTCAGAACATCAGTAGCACTCGGGTGGCTTTGTTCCTGCTAGAATTGATTTTTACCAATATGCCCAATCACCAACTGCTCAATCTTCCAATTGCTAACAATTCTTGCCTCATGATATGACTCAAGCTCTTGGATTTCAGTTGCTCCACTCCTTGAAGTTGTAGTATCTGACATGAAGTATTCCCTGGGACTGATAATAACAACAGGAACATCAATTAACTGATCAACAACCATGGTAGATTCCATTTCAGAGTTGTTAAAGGAAGCTTTCCAACAAGAATCCTGTAATCCAGAATTGATAGGTGCCAACAATGACATGAATGGTGTAGAACCTGCTGCCATTCCGAGTATGGATAAAAATCTGGCATAAGGAAATTCTGCAAGATAATCTTTGCCTTTTGAACAGTCTGACTTACAAATGTCATCATCTTTAATCAAACATTTGGAAGAGCCTCTTAGTAGAGCAGTCATAGAAACTGGATTTCTATTATAAATCACCCACTTAGGACCAACCACAAGAGGTCCAAGATAGACTACACCCAATGTATCATCTTTCTTGTCATATGTAGCCTTGACCCCTTTTTCAGTAACTACCATCTGAAAGTGATAGGCACATACTACACCTCCATCCGTAACACATATACAAACTACTAGCTTTTCCTTAACATTTTCCTTATCATTCCTAGTCAATCCTACTCCCAATCCCTTTCGGATATATTTCATAGAATTCATACCATCAATTTTGAAACCCTCAGTCAGCTTCTGTCCTTCCAACATTCCCTTTGATGAAGGATGGTACACAATATCTATTGGGACACCTAAATCCAGTTCATGAACTCTACCCATCAC